GCAAAAACACACACACAAAAAAAAAACCCATGTGAGTAATAGCTTATAAAATATTCTGAAAGTTTAGTTATTTGAATAGCAAATGCTACTTCTTTATACTGCTATTAAACATTTGGTTTATAAAATTCTTTCAGTTGTTAGTTTCTGCCTCCAGTTCTCCCAATCTTTGCACTGCATAATAAGGATTCATAGATACTTCCACATCAAATAGTGTCAATCTCAATCAATAAATTGTTGGAACCTGAAAATCATTTTCTTGAAAAGGGTCTGTCCTGATGATTGCACCCAAATTACAATCAATTTCTCATATAGCCTTCCAACTTAAATTTAAATAGAATGATAGACCAAAGCAAGGCAGAAGGAAACAGTGTCTTTATTCTAATTCTGTTCATAAAGCACCAAACTATATAATTTACAAATGGTAGCCTTCATTCTTTAGAATAGGAAAAAAACATTGTCATGAAACCATCACATCCATTCATACAAAACAGCTAATTCAGGCACAAAAACACATTAAAATGCTTGAATACTAAACTTACAAGTGAACACCTAAATGTGTACATTAGTGGTAGGAATGCTCTTCTCAGGGAGGTTCAATTGTTACAACATAAATAACACAGTTAAGCTTCCTAATTAGTTCAGGCTTATTCAGCTACCACTGAGCATTTAAAAAACCTTCACATGTGCTCAGTTGAGGTCAGAGACTTCTGGAAAGGCAGATCCCTTGTACTTTTGCCTCTGTTTCCCTCTATATTCTCTAGATATCTTCCTTCTATAAGATATAATTTCTTGTTCCATCTTTTACAGTCTTCAGTGGTGTCCTCCAGCCTTTAAATATTCATCCCAGGAAGGTGCAGATTCCTGAATGTATGGGTTCAAAGAACCTGAGTAGCAGCTAGCTCCCTGATTGAGCCAAATAAGGTAAATGAGGGTCAGTACCCACCCCACGCCTAGATACGTTCCTACTTCTATGAAGATATTGTTGCTGCACATTTGAATCTGACTTGGGAAAAGATACACATGAAAGTAAGCAGCTGCCCTGGATCACAGATAGATTTCATTGTGTTCCTTCCAGTTCCTGGAACACTCTCTAGCCTGCCCTCTGTGATAGTTTTCTGTTTTCTATAAAAACATCACCATAGCTCAAGGAAATTTCAAAAGAAAATTGGAATTTGTCATTTCTCACAATTAAGCACAAAAAGCAACATATTTTTACAAATTACTTTCAGGCCTATTTTAGCATGTAGTTCTAAGAGACTTTCAATATCCTGCGTACTTACAAATAACTTTATTGCCTTCAATTGTAAGCCCAAACACTTAGTCCTTTTGACCACCACGTTGTTTCTTTTAATATTGCCCTTCCCTTGTTAAAGTCAGTCTAATCTACCATTGTGCTCACTTTTCAATGCCCTTCTTCTTCTCTTCCACTTAGAACATTTGACTCACTCCCCTATTCTACTGCTGAAGCACTCAATCAAATACTGGTCAGCAAAGAAGACACTTGGTCTTCTAGTTAATGAACATGTGAACCAGAATTGGGCCATTTATATTTCCACATGCACTTTGGGTGTTCCATCAGAACAAATATTTATCTAAGATGCTGAATCTAGTTTGTTGTGCTCAGGATATTTTTTATTAGTTTTCAAGATTCCTTGAACTCAAAATTGTTTAGCATCTGAGATTCTTCAGTAAAAACAGGAAGCATAATTTCCTAACAAAAATTCTAAACTTCGCCGGGCGGTGGTGGCACACTCCTTTAATCCCAGCACTCGGGAGGCAGAGGCAGGCAGATCTCTGGGAGTTCGAGGCCAGCCTGGTCTAAAAGAGCTAGTTCTGGGACAGGCACCAAAGCTACAGAGAAACCCTGTCTCGAAAAAAAAACAAAAAAAATTCTAAACTTCATGGAAAGAAACTTGAAGACAAGTAAAATGTACATTAAGTTTTCAAGAAGCCTGATGTCATGTGGAAACAAAGACCCGATAAAAAGGAAAAAACTTCCATCACTTGGGAAGTTTGAAGAGTAAGCAAAACTGAGAATAAATTAGAAATGCATTTTGAATAGGTGATGAACGTGATAAATGTGATGTGGTGTGTGTGCACATGCAGTGCAAATACAATAAAGTGGTTCCAGGACTTCTCTCATCTTGTTCATTTCCAACCTATGACACTATGCACACAGTTAACTGAGGTTTTTTTGCTCCAATCTTTGATGGCAGATTGATGTACCCATGCACTGACTATTAAATTAAAAATGTCAAAAGATTAAAACAATCTATTGAGCTATGAATAGTTTTCTCAGGAAAACTCTAACCTACAGTTCACAATAAGAAAAACTGACTTTCTATATGAGACCATCACAATGTAGTTAGAAGAGCAAGAAAATGCACAGGATGGCATTCAATTCATGAGATAGCTACTACTTAACTAAGTGATCATGAAATTAATCAAAATCTTTGGACGACATCTGCTAAACTAGCAAGACAATTACAATGATATAAATGTTTAAAACATGATTATACGAATACATAAAGTATATCACATGGAATACAGTCAAGAATAGAATATTCAATCAACACTAGCTTCTTAAGTCCTGGTTCAATTTATAACTTAACATTCATTCTTAAACACTCTAAAATCCTACCGTGATGGAGAGGTGTATTCAGGCTGATTTTCTGTGACTGAAGCAATAGTAAAACAAATTTCAGTATATGATATTACTCTACAAAACATAACATTTATATCTGAAGAAGCTTCTATGGTAAATAATAGCAATGCTACTGACAAATGATTAATGCATCAAGAGATATTCACATTGTTCGAATTTATTGGATAAAGAATTAAAGAAATTATCAGCATTTGATACCCAAAAGTAAGTGACCATAAACAAGAATGAACTATCAGACTGATGGAAAATAGTACCATTGACAGAATCAGTACTGACCATAACTAACTATCAAAGTAAGGTTGTTTGTTTGGAATATTGGTACTAGGATCCATTTAAAGATAGAAAGAACACAGGCACACATGCACACACACACACACACACACACACACACACTCCAAACCTTCTTCAGATACACAGCTGACAGCAGCATTTGTTCAGGTAAGGATGAAACAGCCTGTCAGAGAGAACGATGAGACAATAAGCATTGTACCTTTTAATCCTCCATAAGATGATGAGAACTGTTCCGGACAATATTTCTCATCAAGACTTGCAAGAAATCAGAATATAGAACTAAGGCAAAATCAATGCTACACACTCTCCCTGATCTCCTCTGGGGTTAGGTAGCCATGAGCCCTTATATAATTCTTGTTCTTACCTATAATGCAATAAGGCAGAAACTCAATTGCTATTGTTTTCCACCCTTGACCTCCTTCAGTAAACATCCTTTCTGTACATTGCTCAATGTAGAAGTTCAAAAGTATGCACTGGGAAGACAGGGTCAGAGAATGTTGCTATGGAAGATGGATTGTTATAAAATTATAGGTGCATACCTGTAGTAAGAGCTGTGGGCCTCTTCCCACAGCCCGACTCTTGGCTGCCTGGCTAGCTTATACCCCGAAATAACAACACACAAATTGTATTCATATAAACACTGCTTGGCCCATTTCTATTAATGTGTGTAGCACCCTTAGGTGCGCTTACCAGGAAGATTCTAGCCTATGTCCATCCTGGGTCGGAGCTTCCTCGCGTCTGCCTCAGAGAGGAGCAGCCTGGCATCTGAACTCACTTCCTCTTCCTCCCAGCATTCTGTTCTGTTTACTCCACGCACCCATGTTCTAACCCATCAGGGCCAAGCAGTTTCTTTATTAGCCAATGACCTTCCTCCATCACATACCTAGTTATGTGCATGCACATCACTTAATAAATCACTAACATTCTTTCTATCGGGATAGAAAATTAGTTTTCTTTTTTATATAAGACATTAAGGACAACACAATACACAGTGAGCTCCTACTTGCATTACTCTTGAGTAAGTACTTTCACTGTGCTGGCTGGTTTTGTTTGGTAACTTGACACAAGCTACAGACATTAGAGAAAAAGGAGCCTCATTTGAAGAAAAGCCTCCATGAAATCAAGCTATGAAGTATTTTTTCAACGAGTGCACAGTTGGGGAGGGCCCAGTCCAAGTGTCTGTGGCCATTCTTGGGCTGATAGTCCTGGCTTCTATAGCAAAGCAGACTGAGCAAGCCATGTGAAGTAGGCCAGTAAGCAGCTACCCTCGATGACCTCTGTATAGCCTTTGCCCTCTGGGTTCCAGCCTTGGTTGATTTCCTTCCTCCAATGATGGACTGTGATCTGGAAGTGGAAGCCAAAACCCCTTTCCTCCACAACTTAGGTTTGAATCAAGGTGTTTTGTCACAGCAGTAGAAACCTTAACTAAGACAGTCACCTTTGTTGGGTAAGTCTCTTCTATTTCCCATCCTACTCCTGCCTACTTCTATTTCCAAAAAAACTTACCTTGTTTTAGACTTGCTGGAGGCTTAGCACCCATATTTCCCAGTTATCTTTGCTGGGAAAGTTGCTTCTCAACTTTCTCTGCAAACCCACAAGCCTATTCCAGAACTAAGGCTGTTTGTGAGCCACCTTTGCTGGATAAGACACTTCTTCCCCTTCCTATCCTCCCACCATTTCCCATTGGAGCCATCTCAATTCCCAAAGGCCTAACTCAATGTATAAAATGAAGATAAAACCTGAAAAACTCAATATCCATTTTGAAAGCTCAGAGGAAAGCCTTACCAACATAAGGAATCAGACAAAAGATAAAATATCAGGATGTAAGGATAAACTTGAAGATTTAGACAAAATGAACAAATAATATGAAAAAATAAAAGGCATAGTAAAGGACCATGCAGGAAATTTGAGACACTATTAAAGAGTCAAATATTTAAATTGTAGGCATAGATAGGGGAGAATAATTCTAAGTCAATAGCCTAGACCATATTTCTAACAAAATCAAAGAGAAAAACTTTACCCAAGAAAGGAAAGATATACATACCAAAATACAAGAAGCAATGAGAACTACAATTAGACAAGACCTGAAAAGAAACACCACAAAGCACATGATAGTGAAACCACTAAATTTACAGGACAAGGAAAATATTGAAAGCTTTAAGAGAAGAAAACACACAAGTCACTTAAAAATGAAAAGCCATCAGAATAACAGTTGACTTCTCAATTGAAATTCTGAAAGCCTGAAGAACATGAAGCAATATACTTCACATACTAAAAGACCATGTATGCCAAACAATATTCCTGTGCCTAGGAAAACTGTCTGCTGTAGGTGAAGAAGAAAGAAAACATTTCCATGAAACAGAGTAAAATAGTGTATCAAACAAAACCTCTAGGATGAATACTGAGTGGAATACTTTTAACTGAAGAAAAGAATGATTATAACTAGAGACTTTTAAAGACAAAACAAAGTTATAATTTAATGAAATATAAAGAGCAGTAAACAACATAAAACATCAAGAAAGGATACTAGAGTCTACACATACCTCTCAATAACAATTCCAATTATTAGTCACCTCAAAATACTAAGAAAAAGACAAAGGCTACCTATATGGATAAAGAAACAAAATTCAACCATCTGTTGTCTACAAAAAAATTATAGTTTTAAAGTCAGGAATTATCTTACAATAAAAGGATGAAAAAAAATATTCTTAGCAAATAGTATTAGGAAGCAAGCAGGTACTGCCATGCCAATATCTGATAAAATGAATTCAAACTAAAATGAACCAAAATGGACAAAGGCACTTCATACTAACAAAAGTATCAATTAATTTAGTTAATTAATATATACACACCAAATTCTGTTGCATCCAAAGTCATAAACAATCAACTTGATAGAATTAAAGGTACAGAAAAACACAAACCCAGTTATAGTAGGTGAAATCAAAAGCACAATTTTCCTAATATATAGGTCATCTGGCCAAAAAAAATAGGAAAAGGAAAATTAAATGTCAACTTCATCAAATCGACCTGAAGGATAATTAATGCATCACACAAACACCAAAGAATATACAGTCAAGAGCACATAGAAGCTCCTCAAAAATAGAGTATATGCTGGGGCACAAAGAATGTAAAGAAATAAAAAAAATTTTAAAAATGCCATGTATCCTATCTGACTATTGTATAATAAAACTTAAAATTGATAGCAAAGAAAGTATAGTATGCATATAAAGTCATAGAGATTTAACAACTCATTACTGAATGGATCAGAATGGAAATCAAAAAAGAAAAAGAGTCCTAAAATAAATGAAAATAGAAAGAAAACACAAATAAAACTTCTGTGACAATTCTGAGAGTGCAATTCATAGCTTTAATTATCTACATTAAAAGATCATAAAGAAGAAAAATAAATGACTTAAATATTTCACTCAAGAATTTGGAAAAAAACAAGAACACTCCAAACCCCCAAATACTGAATGGCAAGAAATAATAAAAAAGAATGCATTAGATACAAAGAAAACACCACAAAGAATCAAATAATACAGTGAGTCTAAGAGCTAGTTTCTAAGAAGACAAACAGAATCAAAAGACCCCCTCTTCAAAGAAGTGCCTCTGTATAGCAAGCAGAGACCATCACCACAATCTACAAGTAGACACAAAACAGAGGTCAACAGAAAGTACGGATCCAAGTCCCAATGGATTCATCTGCATCACAGCTTCAGCATTTATGACTCAGGAAATGTCACAGAAGAGGCAGGTGGAAAGACTGTAATGAGTCTGGAAGTCTGTTGTGAAACAGCTGTATAAACAAGATCTGAACAAAGACAATATCAAAAGACATGCTAACAAAGAAGGAGTAGCCCTCGAGGTCCCTGCTCGTGCTCTCTCTCCATCTGCTCCTGATTTGGACCTTGAGATTTCAGTCTGGTGCTCCAGTGTGGGTCTCTGTCTCAGTCTCCTTTCATCGCCTGATGAAGGTTAATATTCAGAAGGATGCCTGTATGGGGATGATCGGGAACTCACCAAGGCCAGCTGGCCTGGGTCTGAAAAAGCATGGGATAAAACCGGACTTGCTGAACATAGCAGACAATGAGGACTACTGAGAACTCAAGAACAATGGCAATGGGTTTTTGATCCTACTGCACATACTGGCTTTGTGGGAGCCTAGGCAGTTTGGATGCTCACCTTACTAGACCTGGATGGAGGTGGGAGGACCTTGGACTCCCCACAGGGCAGGGAACCCTGATTGCTCTTTGGGCTGATGAGGGAGGGGACTTGACCGGGGGAGGGGGAGGGAAATGGGAGGCGGTGGCTGGGAGGAGGCAGAAATCTTAAATAAATTAATAAAAAAAAACCCAAAAAACAAAGAAGGAGTAGGGTAATCTCAGAGGGTCATGCTCCTGGATAAGGAACTGGAGAAAACTAATGACTATTTAGACATGGGGAGTTACTGACACTCAGGGATGAGCACTTTCTGCTCTACATTCGTTATTTATGGGAAGTAAAAATGAATTTTAATACAACTATAATACGTGGGTGGGGTAGTTGGAAAGATGACTTAAAAGTTATGAGTACTTTTTGCTCTTAGAACAAGGATTCAGTTCCCAAAACTTATATGGTATTTTCCAACCATCTATAACTCCATCATCTCATTCCCACAACCACCAGACATGCACAAGAGATACATGCACACATAAAATGAGCACAGAACTCCAATACGGTGTAGTGTGATGACTGTTAAGGAAATAGACAGCATGTTAACATTTTTCAAAGGAAAAATTATTCAGAACAGTGAATGGTCTAGGGGCGAGACAAAAGCAGAAGGACTGTCAACAACATGCTAATATCAAAATATTTTTAGATGTGAGTTAAATTTCCTGCACAAAACTGACATACTTTTTAGACAACACAGTTTTATACAACTAATTTCTTAAATAATTTCCACCAAAACATACACTTCGTTTTGTTTTTTAACTGCATAGGAGGAGCTGGAAAGAGGAACACAAAATGGGAATGATGCAATTATATTTTAATTAAAATGTATTTAAAAAATTAAAACTCCTCTTTGAGGATGTAGGGTAAGGGGAACACTCTGGTGGTGGAAGTACAAACTTGTACAGTCACTTGGGAAGGCAGTGTGGCAGTTCTTCAAGAACCTTGGAATAGGTCTATCTTAAGATCCAGCTGTACCACTCATGAACATCTTACCAATGATATTCTCTTATAGAAATCAGAACATTCTTCCTCCACCCTTTCAAATCTGAGGAAAGACTAGAGAGGATGAAACTGAAGAAGACATACCTGTGATGTCACTCTGTTGACTTGAGAATAGCCAGTCCTCATACTCCAAAATTATACTCTCTCTTCCATGTACAGACATGGTGGTAATAAAGTTATTATTTTAATACTGACAGGAAAGAATTCATCAACATATTAAATTCTTAAGTATTAAACAGTATCAGACATTTTATCAGAACATATTACTATGTCCTTTAGGTTTATAAACTCTAAAACTTTTTATACAATTTCTCACTGAAGAAGGAAAAAAAAAGTAAAATGTCAAATCAGTGGCAATACAGTTCAGATCATCTAGATTATTTTGACAGGATAGATGGTGCCCTGGTATTAGAAGGATTTCTAAATCTCTTTTTCTGTGACAGTGTTTCTCTTAAGCTCCAAATCTCTGCATTTACTACCTGAGTTCACTAAGATGGCTCTGAAAATTACACCACCTAAAACATGCACAGAATTAGTGAAGCACTATCAAATTTTCTTCTCAATCTTGGGCTGATTATAATCCCAAATGGAAACCACTGTGTAGTTCATAATTGAGCCTATGAATAAATGCTACAACTGTAAGATATTGTTATTACTGAAGTATAGAGGTAGTCCAGGGTGAGAACACTACTGAATTTCATGACATGGGTTAGTCTATTGCTACTCTTCCTTTACTCAGAAATGACATACTAAAGTGAGTTTTTTATACTGATTTTGAATCTTCATGCTTAACCCCAACTGACACAGAAGACAGAGTCAAATTTTACACATGAATAAGCATACTGATGAGATGTGATGGGAATTAGCTATAAAAACAGTTATTATTCTTCCCAAGAATTGTAAACTAATGGTTTTGTTTCCATAAAATTATTAATAAATTTTGCCTTCAGAAATGTTTACAAAATAGATATGTTATCATCTACATAGCAAAATAAAAATCTCTGATTAGTAAATAATGAAATTTTTTCCAAATGAAAAAAAAAAGAATTTAGATTCACAGAATTTTAGTCAGCGTCTTCCTTCTGGGGTAAAGTTGGAAAATGTCATGAATTCTTGAGGTACAAAAGCACTTGATAGACCAAACACTTCTTGCCACTTTCCCTGAGATAGGTGAAAGAGAGCTGTCACAACCATAGATTGTGCTGCAGAAGACGATAGAAGGGAACCTTTGTATATAGATTACTATTATCAAAGAAAGAATGCATCTCTGCCCTCTTTCTGCAAGCTTTTGGATCCATGTGATTATTTAGTACATCCGCAAACTCATTTCGTGGTAGAAAAGAGAGACTTCTCCGAGGCAGCTTACTGTGATGACCTTCTAGGACAATGGGATAGTTTGAATAGGTGACAAGACAACATTACTTAACCCTGAAAGAAAAATCTCCTATACACATTGCTACTTTTGACTATTATGTCTTTTTTTTTTTTTTGCTCTATGGCAGGTGGAGTTAACTAAAATACCTCCATTCTGTAAGTATTTAAATAATGAAATCCCATCTGGTGTAAAGTACAACATTTGTAAGAAATTTGTGCCTATGTTCAGTACTAGTTTGTATTTTAATGTATATACTTACACTTTGCGTTTTCCTGCCATGGCATACTGCAGTGAACTCCACCCAAATGCATCCTTTGTGGAGTGGTCCATACCTTTCTTCAGTAACAGCTCAACAATATCCTCAGAATCCCATTTAACTGCATACATGAGCGTTGTTCTAGAATGACAAAGGCAATTAAATTACTTACACGGTGAATTTAATATATTTTGTCAATTCAGTGTATGGCCTGCATGTGTAGTATTGACCATTTACTAACCATTTAAGCATCTTGAAAGCTCAGAGTTCAGATTTTTAAGTATTTTTTATTTAAATTTATTTATTTATTAAGAATTTCTGCCTCGTCCCCACAACCGCTTCCCGTTTCCCTCCCCCTCCCCCGATCAAGTCCCCCTCCCTCTCCCTCATCTGCTCGAAGAGCAATCAGGGTTCCCTGACCTGTGGGAAGCCCAAGGACTGCCCACTTCTATCCAGGTCTCGTAAGGTGAGCATCCAAACTGCCGAGGCTCCCACAAAGCCAGTACGTGCAGTAGGATCAAAAACCCACTGCAATTGTTCTTGAATTCTCAGTATTCCTCATTGTCCGCTATGTTCAGCTAGTCCGGATTTATCCCATGCTTTTTCAGACCTAGGCCAGCTGGCCTTGGTGAGATCCCAATAGAACATCCCCATTGTCTTAGTGTGTTCAAAGAAAAAAGTTTAAAGCAAAGTGTCATCCAACCTATGGTTTTAACTTTTATACATACTAGAAGAAATTAAAATTTTATAGTTATTAAGAATTTCAAGATATATCAGTAATTGAACTAATAGTGATCAATTAGTTTTTTCAAAACACTAATATAAAATCTATCAGTTCATATAAGATTCTAAGCAAGAAAAACATCTCGTTATCATGGGGAATGTGAACCTGACTATGTATTGTTCTCTGTTATAGCCATTTCATAAAATCGGTATTTTTTAGAAAAAATAATTGATGTTTTGTTGATAAATCTAGTATATTCCCATAATATTTTTGAGTGATTTTTTACTATTCTTGACCACAAGTAATGTATTAAATATTCAAAACACAGTACCTTTGAAAGTCATCACGTGCATAAATGTTTGCACCATGATTTATTAAATGTTTAGCCATGAGAAGTTTCCTTTCTCTGAGTGCTAGCAGCAGAGGTGTAAATCCATCCTGTAATGATATCCATGAATAAGTCACAATATTACATTATCCATAACTGAAATGAAAACCATACAGCTAGCCCCATGAACATAGTGCTTACCACAGACTAGAGAGCAGTAGTCTTTGTCTCCTCAGCCCATTGTGCATTTTCAGATTTCTCAGCCTTGCAATGCTCCAACCCTGTTTACAGTTGTCACAAGACTCTAGTCCTCTCATGGGAAACATCTTGTCCCATGAACCACTGGTTCCTGTCACAGCATTTACCATGGAATTTTGGAGTCCTGTTGTTATTTCCATCTAAGGAAAGTTTCCTTAGAATATCTCAAGAAACCCAAACCACCACAAAGAAGCAAAGGTTTTCAATCCTTTGTTACATGGATGAGTTAAATTTTCTTCACTATGTCAGAAGTTCTCCTGTGTTTCAAAAGACATGTAGTAGACACCCCATTTCCCAATAGAGAAATTTGATTAAGCATTATGAAAACAACCCAGCCATAAGCTCTTTAATTTACAATCTATCCTGCTTGCAAGATGTGCTGGAGCAATGATGACCCAGATATTGTGGGAGTGACCAACCAATAACAAGTAAAATTTGAGACCCAGGCCATGAGACAGAGTCTATGCCAGATGCTTTCTGGATAACCAGAACCAGGAAACTGGGTATTCCAGGAATCTAGGGTAGAACCAACCACTACTGCCCTCTCCACCACTGCAAAAAGACATCAATGAAAAGTTTCATAATTCTATTATTTTCCTAAATCAGGGCCTAGGCCAGTCATCGTCAGAGAAGTTGCGTCTGCAGCTGATGGGAGAGGATGCAGAGACCCACAGACAAACCTTAGGCAGAGAGAGAGCCCAAGTTAGAGTTCCCCTTTGGGTCCCTCTGCCTGGCACCAGAACTCTCCAGAAGAGGGAGAGGAGGAATTATGGGAGACAAAAGGGTTGAGGACACAGGGAGAGCAAGGCCAGAGTAGTCAACTAAGCAGGACCCTTGGGGGCTCAGAGACCTAAGTGACAATCACGGAGCCCGCATGTGTCTGTATTGGTCCTTTGTATGTATGTTATGGTTGTTGACTTCGTGTTTTAGGCTGACTCTTGACAGTGGGAGTGGGGATGTCTCTGTCTCTTTGCTCTTGGGATCCTTTTGTTTCTATGGGGTTGCTTTTCCCAGCCTTGATCTGAGGTTCTGTGCCTGGTCTTATTGTATCTTGTTGTGGTGTGTTTGATTGATATCCTTCAGAGGCCTGCACTTGTCTGGGGGTGAGGGTGGTGGTAGATGAGGACATGGAAGAGAGTGGAGGAGGAACTTGGAGGTGTAGAGAGGAAAGGAAGCTGTGGTTGGGATGTATTGTATGAAAGAATAAATAAAAATTAAAATAAGAGTTATGACAAAATTGTGGAATTGTTCAGCATTAAGAAATATTTTCTGAAATCCTGTTGGACAAATGTTCTGTGGGGCAAACATTAGCAACAGCAGAAGTTGTTTAAGAGACACAATTCTCAGAAGTTTGTGATGATATGGAAGTTTCCTGAGGACACCGTGGAACCTCTGCTTGATTCTCTTATGAGGGAGGACCAGGGTAACAATGTCAGGATCTTGCTCCAAATAGGTCACCAAAGAAATGGACTCAAAATGAGTGAGACTTCAGAGAAAACTTGATTGCTTACCTTGAAATGAATTCTGTACTTTAATAAAATGAAAACTGTCTTATAGTTTAGAAAGCCCAGTACATGATTTTAAAAAATGTTTTAATTTAAATTGTTGATAAGTTCCTATATGAATACTATATTGCATAATTTGTACACCATCACTTCTCCAGTTCCTCCTTACCTTCTTGCTCTCAAACTCATGATCTCTTCTTTATTAAGGTTACACACTTACATGTATTTGTAAAAACTAATTCCATTTAATGTTGGTCATTTCTCTGTCTCTCTCTGTGTGACTCTCTCTCTCTCTCTATCCCTCTGTCTCTCTTTCTCTGTGTGTGTGTGTGCATGTGTCCGTGCATGTGTGTGCATGTATTTATGTCTGGACATTGGGGTTGGATTTTTTCAGTGAAGAAAAATGAATTCTTCCCTCATCAGCCATGCGTTGTGGGCAAATTTTCATTTAGGGGTAGAACTTTGAAAGTTTCCCCCATCAGTGTTTACACGTCAACTGATGTTCTCATTGTACAGGTCTTGTTTAGGTCACCATATTATTGAAATTTAATAGGTGCAGTATTCTTTTCATATCTAGAACACACTATCTTGAAAAAGGCATTTTAGTCTGTGGATCATAGTGTGTGAGGACAACCCCCTTTCTCAGTGCTCCCTGAGCCTTAAGTGTGGGGTTTTATTGTAGGTGTGCCCATTGTGCAAAGGCTCCCATGGGCATTTACTCTCTGCATTTTGACCAGTTGTGAATTTCTCTTATACTCTCTCCCTGTTAGAGTCTGTATAACACTATTTCTGTTATACTCTCTATCAGCTTTGTGTCTAAGTCCAAGTTACAGAGTGACTGTAGTGTTCTAAATTAGTGCATACAGATCAGTACAATTGAGTGTTTAATGGTAGGTAATGCATTGCTCACCTACAATTTTCCTAAGAATAACAACTTAGGCAGTAATCAACATGGAGCAATGATCTAAAGATATTTAAAACAAGATGATTCAAATGTGACAGCACAATAGTAATTCTGTCAAGAGAATGAAGGGTGTTGGAGAACCATGGCTTGTAAGTTAACCTGTGTTAACTAGTGAGACCCTACATAAAAACCTACATACTTGAGGTCAATTGGGGTTTTAGGATTATCGTTATCAGTGAGATTAAAACCATCTATTGTAGTGTGCATAGAGTTATGCCACAAGGGGTGAAAAAGCTCTCCCCAAACCCATAACTAATGAGATGCCCAGTGCCAGGCAAGAGAACCCTTCTCTGCAGTACTGGGAATCCCAGAAAGTTCCCAAACAATACAAGCTCTTGACACTACTCGTGAGTTCTCCCTGTAACTTGAATTTTAGATCTTGTTAATAAAGACAACACCTATTTTAGACACAGGACTGGAAGGAATCAAGCTGGAATTACTCATGGCTTCTTCCCATACAGACTAACTCTCCTAGAAAGTGAGAGGGTGCTAAAAGAGCTCTGGAGCATACTAATCTTCAGCTATCCTAAATTTATATCAAAATCACCAAGAAATAATGATAGTAGACTCAAACACCTGTATAGGCAAAAAAACCAAGCAGGTGAAATGAGTAACTCCTGCTGTGTTTGTTTGCAAATAGAACACACTTGGATGTTGGATAATGGAAGTGCCCCCTGAAGGGAACCATTCAATCTAATAGGGTCAATGGAGATAGAACTTGATTTTTTAAGATCAGGATGAAGTTGGAGTTATTAAAATTCTCCTAGAGATTGAATGTGCACTGAATTTGCAAAGGGTATATATGGCCGCACTGTCTCCTAGCCATCTAGTTTATTTATTAAAATTTGATCCTTTGCTGCATGTGAACACATCCTTGGATAAGTATGCAAATCAAATATTGGTAGCACAAGCTGTAACAGACCCCCAAATGTAGTAAAGTCATTGTGGTGATTATTTTTATCTAACAACAACACCAACTAGAGTTACTTAGGAAGAAAAATTTTGGTTGAGGGATTATCTACATCAGTTTGACAAATGGACATCGCTGTATAAAATTATCTTGATGGATGGTTGATGAGGTGGTCCCATACATTGTGCTTGGGACCATAGCCCAGTTTGGGAATAGAGCTGTGTAAGACTTCAGAGGGCCAGCTGAGTGTTAAGAGAACAGGCAGCATGGATTCATTCATTTCTAGCCCTCTTGAGGTTATATGAGATGTGAATAGCTGTCTCAAAATCCTGCCTTTGTGATTTTCCCAATAATATGCAGTAATCTGGAACTGCAACCCAAATAAACCTTTTCACAAATACTTTCAACAGATGCATAAAAGAAGGTTGTATTCTCTAATACTTCTTTCAAGAAGTCAACACTTTTCTTCCTCATTTAAAATCACATTTGGAGAGTTCCACACAATGTGTTTTGATCACATTAACTCGATTTACTAAACTAATTCCCATATCCAACCCACTTCTCCACTCACATATCTCTCTGCACTCATTGATAAAACCCTCTCTCAAGTCTCAGTGCTCACTGCAGAAGATCACGGGAATGACTCTAAGAGCCAGAGAAACTAGATGACTACAAAGATACAGTGTCTTCTGCATACAACAGAGCAGATAGGCATATGAAGTGATAGCCATTGTGAAAACATTCACAAGCTCAAGCGACACAAAATTCAGTGTGGATACAGGAATTTAGCATGAAGTTTTGCTCCTAACTGAGGCCTTATTGACAGGTGATAGATGCTGGGAGGGGATAGTCATTTTTATTCAAATATGTAGTCTCTGGTAGCCTAATCATGCTCCAGTGGATGGTCATGTACTCATAAGTATATGGTCTGCACAAATGACTCAATGAATTAGAAAATTGTTGTAAGGAGGGTGCCTGTCTATTTCCCACCCAGACTCCTGAAATAATCACACAGAAACTGTATTAATTAAAACACTGCTTGGCCCATTAGCTCTACCTTGTTGTTGGCTAATTCTTACATCTTATTTAACCCATCTCCATTAATCTGTGCATCACCTCGAGGTCATGGGCTTATAGCAAAGTTTCAGCACATCTGTCTCCAGAGGCGGCTCCATGGCTTCTCCCTAACTCCTCCTCCTTTTTCCCAGCATTCAGTTTAGTTTTCCCCACCCCACCTCTATTCCCTCCCTGTTCAGGCCCAAGACAGTTTTTTTTTTTTTATTAACCAATGGTATTCTCAGCATACAGAGGGGAATCCCACATCAGAAAACAAACAGTAACAAAATATCAATATTTAAATGAATACCAGTCAAGTTATTTCAAAGCATCAGTCAAGGAATACTTGGACATAGAAACATGGAAAATTGACCCTATACATGACACTGTTAAAACACATGATTTTCAAATGCTTGGGAATTCCATTTAGAAAATAGTTACCTTTGTAGTTTCCTCAATGTTTCCCCCAAATTCAAGAAGACTGGTGGCAATAGTGGCAATCTCTGGCTTGTTTACATACACTGCCTGATGTAATGCTGTTTCTCCCTTAGAATCTTTAATATTGGGATCTGCTTTGTTATCAAGGAGAACAGAAACAATCTTTGTCTCCCAGCTTTGTACAGCCTGTGGATATTGAAAAAAGGGAAACCTTATCCATACAAAGAATTCAACATAAATGTCCCCCTAACTTATTCCTTCACCATGATTTATATATAAGTGACATTAATTTTACTTTCATTTTAACCATTTACATAAAATTCATTTCTGAAATTGAAGACTTTGAACTACCTTCATTAGTGGTGTGCACTTTTGATCATCAAGTGCATTTACGTTGCATTTATTATGTAAAAGGAAATTAACCAGATGCAGATGGCCATAAAAGCAGGCGAAATGGAGTGCAGTTCTGTGGGAATGAGAGATATTTTTAGTGAAACTGCAGGGCATAATGTCAACATACACAGTCACTTACATACTTACAATTATGTAGCGTTTAACTCCTCTGACCCATAAACCAATATTTATTTTTTTCCAAAATTATATTTATTTGCTCTTATTATTTACTATATTAGAAAAATTCACAATATAGAACTTTTATGACAGTGTGAATAAAATCCACAGCTCCTGCAGCTAGGTACTAGCTGTGATTTCCTTGTCGGTAAACTGGGTGTTAAAAGTATGCCTCTCCTACCAAATTACGATACAAAAATAAGGACCTTTGCAATGACTCAGAAAATATTCATGAACAGCAAAATATCTGCTTAATGTTAACTCTGTAATAAATACATTCCAAGTCAGTGTTAGTTCCATTGTATCTCTTTTGCAATTATATTAAGGACTACATACTTTATACAGTCTAAGATAATCTCTTCAAAATTTGAAACATGGTCTACTTTAAATTTTTGCTCCTGCTGCATCAACCCACAGGTAGCTAGGGTTGTAGATATGACACAGTACCCAGCTTAAATTCTCTTTTCTCAAATTTTAATTCATTAAAATTGGAAAATCGTTTATAATTCATAATGTAAAACCGTCACCGATACTTGAAAGCAATTCTTAATGCACAAGTAGAATGTCACCTTGCAATCCATGGTGTCTTAAACTGAGACTGTGACAGAGATGGACACCATTCCTAGTCTTTACACTGAGGTTTAAAAATGCTAGCTGTGAAATTACTATGAATAACTAAGAGCAAGAATCTAGGTGCACAGGAGGCTTTGCTTTAACTTTTAAGGAACTTAAGCCAAAGGAAACTTGGGATTTGAATAAGTAAGTGTGACTCTTTCTTGACATTAGTTAGATTCACCATGTATATGTAAACCAGATATTTGCTATGTCTAATGTCAGCATCTAATAGCAAATTTCACAAGGGAGATTTAGGACACCTTCAGCTGCGCTCACATTGGATAAGCAAGATGAGTTTGTTGCTCTGTAAGTTATGAAACTCCCAACAAGCTTTGTTGGCCTCTACCAGGAGTAACAAAAACTGTCAGAAGTAACTTGCAGATAACCTGGACTTGTGAGAAAATGGTGCTATGAAAACTGTGGCTGATCAAGGCAGCCCTGAATAACCCCTGAGAACGATATGAAGTCAAGCTTAGGAGAAATAAGAAATAGGCATCTGTGGAGACGTGAGAACGGCATCCCTAGAACACCAGTGATGAGAAGAAAAGGAAAGGGAGCAGCACAAAGCCATCTTTCAAATGAGTAAGGAATATAAATGTCCATACTCATTAATATAAATTCATATTGGATTTTATATGGACAAGTTTAGGTGAAAAGATATGTAAGCATTACAGCTCAGATGGAAAGGTATCCTGGCAGTCAGGAGTGAAGAGATTTATTGGGAGGATAAAAAGAACCAGGAGGGTGGCCTGGCAAGAAACAGCAAAGGAATGAGCAGAAGGCAGGGATTATACCATTTCTTGAGGAGGGGAGGTAGAACTTTTCAGGGGAAAGATTTCCAGGGTGGGGATTGGTGGGATTTTAAGTGCAGAGACTGGGCATTTTACTCTGTATGGGGGAGGGCACGGTCCAGTCCTTAGGGAAGTTATAGTGTTCTATGAGGGAACCTGGCTGCTCATGTTTTTTTTTTTTTTTTTTGGCTTTTCGAGACAGGGTTTCTCTGTAGCTTTGGTGCCTGTCCTGGAACTAGCTCTCATAGACCAGGCTGGCCTCGAACTTCCAGAGATCCGCCTGCCTCTGCCTCCTGAGTGCTGGGATTAAAGGCGTGCGCCACCACCGCCCGGCTTGCTCATGTGTTTTGAGGGACGTACAGAAGACATATTATGAGGAACGTTACCTAAATTCCACACTTTCCAATTTTAGAGCATTTTTTATTGTGTACATTGAAGTTAAATCACATGTCTTTGTATTTTGTTATGTTATTCTATTTCATGGTCAATAAAATACTCTATGGGGGAGTTATGGGTGGATGATAAACCTGTTGGAGATCTGGTCTTGTGCTTCTCCAGCTCCAGAAGATGATCTGGACACTGGGCCTCTCTGTTATCTCAGGTGCCATGGAGACTGCGGCACAGAGAGCGTAACTGGGAATTCTCCACACCGATTGCCCGCGATGGAGCTAAGGAAGGTAGGATTCTCCCGTCACCCAATTTCCTCATGGCCTCTCATCCTTAGCTTCCAAACGTTCTTACCGATTCCTTTCATCCTTGTCATTTACGTGAAACTTCTTCTTAGACAGAAGGCGCATCATCACCTTGCTCCTTCCTTCACAAACCGCTTCATGGAATTTATTCTCAGGGTCATAAGGCTGTGCGTACCTATCCTCCGTGCGACAGTCACAACAGGACAAGCTCCCCTTTCCAATGCTCGGGCCGTCACAAAACCCCAAAGGGGTTTTTGGCTCTTTCTTAAAGCTGAAGAGCTTCCCCAAGGTGGAGAACATCACCGCGGCTACCTTTTTGCCAGATCAACACTAATAACTTTAAATACGAACTTTTTTCCACTGGTCGTCTAACAACTAGAGCCTAACTCTGTGAATCCCAGAAGTCATAAGATCTGGTTTGACCAAACAGACGCTGACAGTTACTAACAGCCATTGCTAAGCCACACTGGTAAACAAAAGCATGTCTGCACTTCCTCGAGGATAACTGACAGCTCAGAACAAATAGTGCTCACTGCGCATGTGCAGTGTAAACATGTAAATCTATGCTTATCCTGCAAATTCTTTGTCTCTTCCTCAAAGCTGAAGGATTCCTTTATTTCCTACAGTAATCTTGTTTGGCAGTTTATTTGTTTGGGGAACACAATTCTTCATTCTAAAATCTTTTTTTCCCACTAGGTGGCCATGGGCGGGAGTTGCCTTACCATGAAAATGCAGCTTCTCTTTAAGCTTCTCTCTGTGCGCTTTTGGTTTTGTGTCCACGAACTTTTCCGTGCTGTGAAGAGCTTTAAGTTAAACTATTTGTGAGCCCAGAAGTGGTGCCAAATGAGTTTAACATGATTATAACGCAATAAGGAGATGTCATTTCCAGCCATGGCTGTTGTGGTTCCAATTGTCTTCTTTACAGCGGGGTCCACATATTTCCCTTAAAGTTGAGACCTGTTTTTATTTCGTAGAACTTGTTTTCAATGCCCTTAGTGTCTCCACAATATTCTCAATATCGGATCTTTAAATTTGGTCTCTGCAGGGCTTTGAATGAGCACAGCCCATACATCTTCACATACTTGAACACGTGGTTCCACGTGGTGGTGCGACTTTGAGGCGGAGCCTTGATAGAGGACAGGTCTTGACTGTTTACAGTCTCTGCCCACTATTCGCCCTCTGCTTCCTGACTGTGGCTGAGATAGGTTCTCTAAGCTTCCTTTTCTTGCTACCATGCCTGCCACTTGCTGTTAACTCTCCCTACCATAGAGCAGCAATGAACGTGACTAAGAAGGCAAGAATGAGTAAAAGGTCTGGATGGGGAGGTCACGGGAAATTCACTGGGCCAGAGTCTGGAGAAGGAAGTGGGAGGCTGGGCTGTGTAGACTTTCTGGTTATTTTGCATTGCATAACCAACTAGGGGGTTTATCCATGGAAAAGACGAGGTCTTCCTCTTTCAGTAGTCATTAGTTGTCTATTGCTCAGTAATTTTTTTAGCGTTAAAATATTCATTCTTTAGAATTATGTATTTTTGTTAACATTGGCAACAGTATTGCTTTTCAAAAATTCATACAAGATACTTTGATCATGCTTCTCCCTTCCCCCAATTATCCTGGATCCTCCCTCTACCTACCCCCCATCCATCATTATGTTTTCGTCTCAATTTTTTTTAAATAGCAAAAAAAAATCTAAAAAATATCAGACAAAATGCAAAAACACAAAGTTTCCACCTCACACACATGCAAAAAAATCTTGAATAATTTTTTGTTGTCCAAATGGACTTAGACATTGGACTTTATTATTATACCCAGTGGCTCTCCATTAGAGAAAACAGACTTTCCCTTTCTTGAGAGTCTAAATCACACATACCTTCTCTGTAAGAGATGGAAATCTGTGTGCACTTGATCCCTCAGTACTAGAGCCACATGTAGCTTGAACCTGTACAAGTGTTGTGTGTTTTGCCACAGTCTCTGCAAGTTCATTTGTGCATCAGTCCCATTGTGCCTAGAAGACACTATTTCTATATTTTTTCATTTGACAAAAATATTTGTATTTTAAATTTTTTCATGAGTGAATATATTCTTTTTTATATGCCAAGATTCTCATTGTGGGATATATAACATGCTAATAATAAGTTAGATATAGGGAGATTTTCACTCTATGGATGAGAGGTTACCACATTGGTAATATGCAGTTACATGATGGATGAAAAAATGAAACACCATTGTGTCCCATGACAGAGGTTTGCGTACAAAACATTCTGTACCTATAATGAAAAACTGTTTTCCATGACAGAGGTTTGTGTACGAAGCATTTTGTACCTATAATGAAAAATTGTTTTCCATGACAGAGGTTTGCGTACGAAGCATTCTGTACCTATAATGAAAAATTGTGTCCCATGACAGAGGTTTGCGTACGAAGCATTCTGTACCTATAATGAAAAGCACACCCTTACTATTGCATTTGTAAATCTTACTTTGTATGGACAAAAAGCATGCAAGAACTTTTTCGAAATGAGGCACATAAAACGTTGGAAAAAATCCCATCCAATAATAAAGTGTTCTCTGATGCATGGTTTTTATAGAATGAATAGATTTTATTTTGTAAACACATATTAACTACTGCACACTAATGATCTACTTTCAATATATGAGGTGCATATCAGAGCATTTAAATTATATAGCTGGATAAGAATGTGACTAATTCCTCCAATCCACAATGAAAGTTTTGTAGTATCAACCTTTCTTCTGAAACAAACAATTTCTCTTTTACAAGCACATATTTCCTCTGGTTCTGTATAAGTATGTATGTGTTGTAGACAACTCGTTTGATACATTTAAAGTAATTCTATTATATATGTATATAGAAGAAAGTAAGAACTATTCATTCAATTTGAGAAAATTAAACTTAAGCATCTTTTATCTAGAAAAAAAGAGCTCTATTTTCCAACCTCATAACCCCTACATGATTATCAACCAAACGTAGTGTTGAAAAAATACTTAAAAAAAGATGCTTACTCAACAGAATTTGTAAAGATATGGCATTCTTCCAGTCCATGAGATACAGTCTATCCTGAATAGTTCATCCAGATTTTAATTCAGAGGTAGATATTCTCTGTTTTGTTTTATAGGTCAATATAAATTTTATTGTATACAGCTTATTAGAGAATGTGTAAAATGCAGTTATTACAGAAGTGGAAAAGAATGTCTGTCCTGTCCCATTCCACTAGTCAAGTTTCATATGATGCATCACTAATCTACGACAAACAGATTCCTCTTATGAGTGCACACTCCTTATAGCTCATTTAGATTACTTGGGTTGGTGAGGAGAAAAATAAGTTCCTGAAATGCAGAAACAGAGATAAAGGAAATTATAGAAGAACTTTGCATTTCACAGGAAAAATTTTATGTTTCACCTAAAAGGAGAAAAGTTCATATATATGAACAATATGAAGCTAGTTATGCAATCATAAAATTAATGTAGAAGTATTTACAAATTTAAAAATATCCCAGTATAGACATCTAGAATACAATTCCTACACCTATGGCTCAGGAAACAATGCTGGAAAAGAAGTGGAAAGATTATAATAAGAGGAAGTCAGCTAAAAGGTGGTGTCTTCCAGCTGTGACAAAGAGGCTACAGCCATGAAATCTCAACAATATGGCTGCTTAAACATGACCTGAGCAATTGAAACATTTGTTGACATGCTAGCACTGATAAGGAAAATCTCATGGGGGTGCTCATTTCTAGATGAATAGCTACAAGGAATTAATGACTACTGAGAGAGAGAATTAGTCTTTTCCAGATATGAACACCCTGACAGTTTATCCAATACCATATTATTTAGTTTTTAAAAAAGATACATATAAACAATAAAAAAGAACCCAGTACATTTCACACACACGCACACACACACACACACACACACACACACACGAATGTAACTGTGTGCTGCCAATCTGGCTCCATAGGTACGGCCTAGCAATCCTATAATAGTAACTGGCTGAAAGTCTGGTTAGAAATCTTTTGGATCTGTTAGCGAATAAATCTAGACAAGAAGTGTAGTAATATGAGCGGAGGGGCTGCATCCCTAGCACCCCAGCAGCCTGGCTAGCTTATGCTCCGAAATAACAACACACAAACTGTATTCATTTAAACACTGCTTGGCCCTTTAGCTCTAGCCCTTACAGGCTAATTCTCACATCCCGATCAACCCATCTCTAATAATCTGCGAGCACCGGTCTTACCGGGAAAGGTTCAGCATGTCTAACCTGGCGGCTTGCTTCATCGCGTGCGTCTGCCCGGGAGAGCTGAGCATGGTATCTCTCTGAGGCGTCTGCTCCCGAGAGGAGAGCTGTGGAGTCTGAGCTCACTTCCTCTTCCTCCCAGCGTTCTGTTCTGTTTACTCCTCCCACCTAAGAGTGGGCCTATAAAATGGGCCTAGCAGTTTCTTTATTGCTTAACCAATGAAATCAACAGATTGATATATGACACTCCCACATCACTTCCCCTTTTTCTGTTTAAACAAAAAAGGCTTTAACTTTAACATAGTAAAATTATATATAAAAAGTTATCAAGCAAGAATTACAGTTACAATATTTATATCTATTTTATCTTTTATCATAACTAAGGAAAACTATAACTATCAATTCATTCTTCAACTCCATCAAAGACTCCAGAAGGATATAATACTACCTAACAAGAAATAAGAAAACTCTAGAAATGACAGAGACATCTCGCTGCCTGGACAGTCACCCAAAGTTCTTTTGTACCGTTGGGGCATCCATCTTCAGCCTTCAGGCCCAAAGTATCCAGCAGACATTTTCATCAAGCAGGAAATTCCAAAGACAGTTTAGTCATTTTCTGCTGTATCCTGCAGAATGTCTCGCAGACTCTTTCATGAGTCAGGAACCCCGAAAGACCATCTCACCTTTAGGCAAGTTCAGCAGTCCTCTCTCTGCAGGTTCTCTTTGTCCAGTTTATGCAACAGTCCAGGCAAGAACAGTTTCTTGCCCAAATGGATATCAAACTCCATAATGAGCCTCTTCGATGCCCATCTTCCTCTTGAAGTAGATTGGTGCTGCTAGGAGCAGAGTGTCTCATTGTCATGAAAAGTCCTCAGTTATCAAAACATTAAATGTCCTATTCTGTAATCTTTGAAAGACATGAAGAATGTCTATCTAAAATATATCTCAATATATCTAGAAAATCTAACTAACATGACTACAAGCTTTACTATTATCAATGATTATCCATTCACAACCTATATTTCTTAATTATACAGTACATATTTAAATGAA